GAACCAGTTCACAAGACCAGGAAAGGAGACCTGGCACTGCGTCGAACATTCCTCAGGGGTCGTAGTATCAGGAAAGAAGCCCAGGTAGTTTGCTATTCCACGTGGTCATGCAGGTCAGAGAATAGAAAATGAGCATGTGAGATGTTGTTGAGTCCATGCTTGCTCTGTCTCCTCTTAGGCGAGCTACACACCTCCAGTATCCTTGCAAGCAGTGTTTTGTAAAGCGCACTCACGGCAAAATGGTAAGGGGGAAGTGGGACCTGTTATATCAGGATGAGTTGAGGGTTACGTAAAACATTCTTCAGTCCGATTCCTGTACGCGCTTAAAGCACAAAGGATGACAAATATGCTAGACATGCCACGTACTCGGGGTGGGCATAGTTGTTGGAGATGCTGTCGGAGTCGAGGTCGGTGCCGCTGTCGGGCTGCCAGTAGGACTCATGGTTGGGGAGGCAGTGGGATTCGGGGAGGGCGTTGGTCCCGACGACGTGGGAACTGGAGTGGGTGTGACTGGAGAAAGGCGGAAAGGTCTAGATCAGATGACGAGAACGACGTCAATCACACCCCAAAAAATATGGAGTGCGGATTGAAGACTCAACATTGTCAAGGAAGGATATCGAGCCCAGCGGACAAGGTCCCTCGTCACATGGATGAGATTATCCTCCTCGTCAGGCCTCAGAGAGCTGAGCTTGACGACTATGTAGCGGAACTCACTTGTTGGGCCAATGGACGAGGGAGTAGCGGTAGGACTATCGGTCGGTTCTCGGGTAGGAGCTGGGGTAGGGCTGGTATGGGTGGAATGGATGCGAATGATTGTGCACGTGCGTAAGTCACTTGAAAATGTCATCTGTCGAGGACGATTTCATCAATTACCTTGTTGTCTGAGGCGACGCAGAGCACGCCGATCCACCTAGATCTAGTGCTGATAGTCGGCCTGTAGTCGAGTAATCAGGAATCGATGTTGCTACGCCAGTCTCCAGGTCGATGGTGTACCAATTGTCCACGGTAACATCCGCCGAATCGAATGCCTGACCGTACAAGATTTCTTCCTCGCAGTCAAATGCAAGCTGGAGGGAGGGATTGCCTGTCTTGATCTCTGTGTAGGGAAGCGTGGGCTGCTCGAATGCGTCGTCGAGGTCAATCTTAGCAAATTGCCCAAAGACTGTTGCCAAATATAACATGTCGGTGCTGGTCTTGATGGCAATGTCGCCAAAGCGCATGAAGTCTGGACTGAAATCAGGCCCTGTGATAGTTCGTTGAATGTCTGTTCCAACTCCAATAGGGTTGTCGGATACATCATAAGTGATGGGGAGAAAGTTGACCGTACTCCCTCCTTCAGTGACCCAAACGAAATATGAAGTGCCAGAGCTGGGATCGCGGTAGAATTCCGCGTTAGCCGGAAAGTTTTGATTGTTCCACGATTGCGCTTGGCTTGCGATACGAGCAATGGCTCCGGTGACCTGATCCCAATAGTACAAGCCCGCAGGATTGGAAGCATCGCCTCTATAGAGCCAAAACATTTGGTTCCTGGCCTCGTCAAAGCCAAATGCATTGCTGCCTCCATCTCTCGTCAGACCTGTCTCTTCAACAACCCTTGTGGCTTTATTAACCGGATCGTATTCAATAATCTCATTGAATCTATCGATTCCGTACATAAACGCAGGTGCGGCACTTGTAATGCTCAGGGCCAGCATGCCGACTAGAAAGAAAAGCGGCTTCATCCTCATCTTTGTGCACAGCATGACTATGCTCAGCTCGAAGTATGATTAAGGACACTAAAAAGTGAAGATGATCAGTGAGGAATGAGTAGAAGTACAAGGGCATCGAGTACAGCTCCTACACGCTTTGTGGTATGGGCCCAATCTAGGGTCGTCCCTCAGAGCAGAATCTTCAGCACCACGTTGTGCTGTGACAAGACGCAGTGCACAGCAGATAAGCGTCCAGGGGAGCTC